CAGCCCCGACCCCGGGGGGTTTGCGCAGCGCCGAGCACTGCCGGGCTCTGCCCGCCCCAGCTGATGGGGAGGGTCTGTTTTGGGGCTGCTCCTGGCTTTTCCCCCAAATCCATCAATTTCCCTGCCCCTCGCACCCTCCGTCCCGTCCCACCGGAGGCGAAACTCACCCGTGAGGCTGCCCCCGAGCGTGGCGAGCAGCAGGGTGACGGGCAGGGCGCAGAGCTGGCAGAGCACCTGGTCGGTGGCTGTCCGGCTGCCCTGGGCCACCAGTGGGAACACGAGCTCCAGCCTGCAAGCCGGAGCAGGGACGGGTTTTTGGGGAGCTTGTTCTCCCGGGCAGGGAAACGGGGGGCTCCGCTTATGGCTCTGGGTGATGTGCTATAAGGGGGTGCTGTAACAGAGGGTGCATGGAGCATCCCCGATTTCAGGGGTCGTGGTGGCCCCAGCTTGGTGCATGGAGTCACCGACACCCCTGATTCTGGCTCTTCTCACCTGCCACCATAAGCATCTGCAGTGGCCAGTGCCGTCAGCAGCATCCCCAGCAAGGCGCCCAGGATGCCCGGCAGCCCGTGGACGTTGTGAACCCCGCACGTGTCCTGGATTTTCAGCCTGGAGCACAGGACGGGCTGGGGAGAGCGTTAAGAGAGAGCCGGGGTTCGGACGGGGGGTGCTTGCCCAGGGAGGCTGCGCTGCGGCTCGGTGTTTGCAGGTTTGGGAGCTGCAGGTTGGCAATGCAGCCTCCCCCAAAGGGGGTGGTCCCCTGACCTGGGACTGGTGTCCTCAGCTGTCCCGAGGCGACTCACCGTGAGGAATCTGAAGCCAAGCGGGGGAATCAGACCGGCCAGAAACCCCACGATGAGGGCCCCGAAGGGGGTGACCAGCATCTCCCCAGCCATACCCATCACAGCCATGCCGGCCAAGGTGGCATCCTGGATCTGAACCTGATGGAGCAGGACATGGTTGGGGGAATTGGTTCCATGGAGGACATCAGCATGGGGCTGGGGGGGATTTGGGCTTCCTTGGGGATCAAACTGAGTCTTAATGAAACTAAGAAAGCCTCACAGGCATCCCCTTTTGCCCCAGGTGTATTCACGCTCGCTGTCCCTGTAGAATGGGACATGGACAGTGCATGAGACTTGGGTTTGTCCCAGGAGAGGACGTACCATCCGCAGGGTGCTCTCCTCGTAGAGGACAGGCGAGAGGACGAAGGTAGCCAGGGTGCTCGCCACCAGCGAGAAGTAGGTGTTGAGCACCGCCCAAGGCTCGGCATTGTCATGGACAGTGGTGGCTGAGGTGAAGCTGGGCCAGAAGATCCACAGGTAGATGGTTCCTGCGGGGAAGAGGAACAGGCAGGTTTTGATGTTGGGGTTGATCCCTCGTGGGAAAGAAACTTCTTGCTAGTGCCAAGAGATGCAAGTGGCCACAGCTTGCGGCGTGGGAGGGTCAGGTTGGACACGAGGAAAAGCGTTTTCCTGGAGAGGGTGGTGCAGCCCCAGGACAGGTCCCCAGGGAGGTGGAGGACCTCTGTCCTTGATGGTTTGCAGGACTCTGCTGGTCAAAGCCACAGCCGCACTGTCCTAATGACCTGTTGGTGATGGTCCTTCCACCACCATGTCTATGACTCTGGTGTTGTAGGATTCGAGCTCCGTACCAACCACAGCAAAGACATCTGGCTGGTGCCCCGTGTCCTGCTGCTCTTTCCTCTTGTCCATATGGGGCTGGTGCAAGATCCATGAAACCATCAAGCCAAAATAAGCACCAAAGGTGTGGACGGTCAAGGAGCCCCCGCTGTCGCTTACCTGGTCAGTACAGAAAAACACCGTGCAGGAAGGGGGGATATGGGATTTGTCTCTACAGACAAGGCAGGTCCTGACATGAGGAGCCTAAACCCTGGGGTGATGGGGTGACCCAGCTGATATAAATATGGTGGACCCCCCCATCGGTGACTCACCCCCATGAGACTGAGCAGGATGTATTCGTTGAGAGTGAAGAGGGTGACTCCCAGCAGGGTCAGCAGCAGCATCTGGACAGGGTTTACCCTGCCCAGAACAGCTCCGGTGGAGATCAGAATGGCTGCGGTGCAGAAGTCGGCGCTGACCATGCTGGGAAGGAGAGGGAAGGCATGGGGCTGGACCCGGTGCTGCCAGGGGGCGAGCGCAGGAGCTGGAGAGAGCAGGGTTGGGGGGGACGGGAGCTGAGCCTGCAGCCCGGACCCTGCGTCCCACCGCTCCTGCAAGCTGAATGGGCAGCCCGAGCCTTGTGATGCTGGTGACAAAGGGACAGCTGAGCTTGAGGCAGGCGGGGGCCAGTGCCAGTGTGCCCCCCTAAATGCCTGGCTGTAACGTTGGCAGTACTTACATGGCCCCTACTAGTGTGGTACTCAAATAACCCAGAAGCTTGGTCCTACTTGTCCTCATAATCCTCCTCCAAAGCAGAGCTGTGAGTTTTACAGAGGAGGGAGCCAGTGTGCCAGGGCTGGACCTGGGACGATCACGGCTGGGCAGCAGCAGCTCCCTCCTGCCTTACCTCTGAGCTCCCACATAAATTTTGCCATTCAGGAAGAAGTATGAAAACCCCTGGATCAGTATGGCCCACTGGATGGCGAAGGCCACGACGAGGATGCTGATGGCCACGCTGCCCGGTCCATAGCGGCCGAGGAAGGCCACCAGGAGCCCAAAGCCGAGGAGAGCTTGGAGGTGGACATCCCGGAAACCTGGTGGAGAAGAGGCAGAAGGATGGGTCTGGAGGCGTCGAGGGCAGGCAGCCACCTTCCTGCCTGCTGGTCCCCCCGAGGGGGCTCAGACACCCTCTGCTCTAACAGGTTTTGGGGAGCTGAAGGCTTCAGCTGATATAAATCAGCCTTGCTCCACCTACGTGTCTCTGGAACTGTGGTGGATCTGGCCTTGGATCTCTCTTGGAGATCTCCAGCGGAGAGCATGAGCGGTTGCTGCTTGTGCTAGTGACAGGTAAAGCCGTCCCTGCCTGACTTGGCCCCCACCACCCTTTGCAGTGGCTCCTGGCCACCTCGTTTGCAACCGCCCTGTGCAGATACCTCGGTACATGCACGTGGTTCACCCTGCAGCCCAGAAACCTCTTGGGGTGGCCGAGAGCCATCTGCACCCATTACACCAGCGCGAAGGTGGGTCTGAGATGTCAGCCACCCCCCCGAGATCTCTCTGCTGCCCCTGAAAACGTCACGTCCCGCTTCATGGGACAAGAGGACCAGAGGGGTGAACAGAAAAATGGGAACAGTCTGGTACCGTTTGGTGGCAAACCGGAGGAGGGGTGACTTGATTCTCGCTTGGGCTAAATGCACTTTGCACCCCTCGGCCGTGCCGACAGCTGTGTCCCATCCTTCCCCGTGTGCTGGAGCCGTGAGTCACCGCCTGCGCTGGGTGGGGTTACGTGGGCAGGCAAAACCGGGAGAACCTGCCTGCTGCCTGCTCCCTGCCAGGCAGCTCGGCTCGGCTCAGCTCCCCTCCCTCGGACAGGGCGCTCCGGAGGCTCCTTTCCAATCGCCTGCCTTGCCCTTGCCTCGGAAAAGCCGGGATCAGTCCCTCATCGCCCAGCCCAGGATGAGGTTTGCAGCGATGCCCGGCATGTGGGAGGATGCTCCCGGCGGGGCGGACCCCCAGCCCCGCCTTGGACGCTGTGGCAGCACCGAGGGAGCCGAATCCTCTGCGAAAGGGGCTCGTGCAAATCCCTTGGCACTGCAAAACCCAGCAGGTTGGTGGGAAGTTTCGCAGACCCCAAAGTGCCAGGAGCAGCTGCCATGCTCCCCCCTGGGGATGGGAGGACAATCCCAGTTTTATCACTGCGCCAAGTGATCCCCTCTGTGCTCCAGCTGCTGAACCGCATAGGTAGACCCAAATATCCCTGTTTTGGGCCTGGCTTTGTCCAAGCAGGTGGGAAATCCTTGCAGCGTGTCTGCTTTCCGCCCACTGACCCCTCCTTGGTGGGATGCACCGGTACCCCAACCCCGCGGTTTGATGTTCCCCCTCCTCTGTTTTACTCTGGAGTCCGATCCAGAGCTGGACGGTGTGACAGGCCTGCAGCCTGGACCGAGCATGGTGACATCCCGTGCCACCCCCTCAGCAGCGCCTGGGGACCAGGTAGAGCCGCTCTCTGCACCCACCCGGGGCGGGGGTACTCACGGGGGTGCTGAAAACCCGAGTCCTGGTTTCTCCAGCTGCAGTTCAGCTGCTGGGAGCAGGGGCCGGGGCTGCTCTCTGGGCTGTACCGGACAAAGACGGCGAAGAGGATGATGGTGAGGATTTGGAGAAGGAAGCACAGCCCGGAGAGCTGGAGCCTCGAGGCGGTGGTGTGCTCAGGCATGTTGCGGGGCAGCTGGGGCAGGCAAAACCCCCGAAACTGGGGAGACACGAGGAGAGACGCGCTGGGGCTGCAAACTCCGCCTGCCAGGGTGGCTGCCAGGTCCTGCCCTCTCCTCGGTGCTTCCCAAGGGCGGAAGAACCGGCCGGGAGTGGGATGGCGCTGCCAACGCGGAAACCCTGGGCTGACCGCTGCCCCGGCATGCCTCGGCACCCACGATGTGGTTTTGCCACATCGGGCGGCTCTGGCCACTGTGGCGGGGAAGCGTACGGGGCTTTCGGTGTCAGCGTCTGCCTCGGCTGGGTGCCGGAGGGTCGGGGTGGGATTTGGGATGGGGGAGGAGCCGTGGCCGGGGGACCCCCGAGGTTTCAGCTTTTCTGGAGGTTTGGCACGGAAGAAACGTGATGGTTTGGGGGGATCGGGTCAGACAGAGGAGATGGAGTGTGGTGCAGCAAGCACGGTGGGACTGACCCGCTGCAGAGGTGCTGGGCTCTGGCAGGCTCAGCAAAGCCAGGTTTAAATTCCCTGGTCAGTAGGAAAAATGATGGTTCAGGGAGGGCTTTGGTGAAGAGGTTACCTGTGGGGCTGTGTGGGGAGGAGGAGAAGCTAAGCCTTGAAAAACAAGGGCGAGGAGCAGAGTCAGAGGCTGCTGTTAGCAACCTGCGCCAGGAGACGGGGGCGGGGGGGGGGAGCTGGAACGCGAGGGTTTCCTTTGCTTTTCTTTGGCTGCTTCTGCTTTTGCAGGGAGGTGTTTGTAATGCACCGAGAGCGGGTACAAATCCCAAAAAGGGAGAGGAAGAGAAAAGGAGCCGAGAAGTAAAATACAGCGTGTGTTTGGGAAGTGACTCGGGTAACTCCTTTCCACAGCACCGGGCCAAATTATGATCTCAGATAAGCAGCATCGGGCTGGGGTCATGCCCTGACGCCAACGGGATGGGGAAGGGGAATGAGTCACTTTTGGAGGCCCCGGCAAGTGTCCTGCTTCGGGCTGCGGTTTTGTGAGAGCCGAGGGGTGTAGCTATTGCCTTCACTTGGGAAAAATGCAAGAAAACGACTCAGCTCGTTTGTGGTACCAGGAAACAGCATCCTCCAGCCAAGGAGCCCTGAACTGCCGCCCGGGGCCAGGCACTGCTGGGGCGGGTCAGGATCCACTTTTGCAGCCGTGGGCATGGGAAGGAGCAGGGACTGCGGTGGAGGGAGATCACGGGCACTCTCTGAACAGCCATGGACCCACAAAATAACTGTGGGGAGATGCCGGAGAGGAATGTGCAGCACTGCTGTGGTTTAGCCTTTCTCTGCGTGGGGGGAGCAAAGCTCTGGCCACTGTTTGCTCCTTAAAATGAGCCAAAGCACTGACCATTTTGAACTGGAAGAGCCTCGGAGGCTTCCAGTCCAGCCTGCTGGCATCTAAGTTAGGGCAGGTTATTGCATTAACCCCTCCGTACAAGAAGCCAAATTTGACCAGGGGCTGGGAGACGCAGGGAGCGGGCTCGGGCCAAGGGGCCTGGGAGCCAGCACATTCCCTGGTGCCGCTTCCCCCCAGGGAGGCTTGTTTTCTGTGCCGTGTGTGCCACGGCGAAGCCGGGATCACTGTGTCCTTTGGTGCCGGGGACAGACGCTGCTTGTCTTGTGTTTCCTTTGAGAAGAGCTTCCTCCACCCCTGGAGATGGACCCTGGGGGAGGGAGAAGATAAGGGAGCCCAGAACACAGCCCCATTGTGTGGCCTTGTTTTGCTCCCGGCAGCATCCCGGCCCCAAGGTGACGATGGGGAAGCCTCTCTGGTGCCTTTTCGCAGGGCAGGATAAGGCCGGTGGGATGCAAGAGCGGCGGGACCCCCCTCGCACAACACGCAGGAGCCCGAAAGTATGGGAGCAGCATCCTCCCATCGGAGACTTGATGGGGGGAGGCATAAAATTAACCATTGCCCTGATGTCTGTGGGAGCAGAGAGCACCGTCCCGGCACTGGGGGCCGATGCCGAGGGGAGGCTTTGCCGCCCCAAGGGGCTGCCGGAGCCCTGTGCGGTGCTGGCATTTTCCCTGAATTCCCCGACGTTGTGGCCTGCAAATAAAGGGATGTTTGTTAGCCGGGTGCGCTGTGTTTTGCCGAGCAGAACAATAAAAAGAAAGACGCTCACAATGGGAAATTGTGCTTCCTCCTCCCCGTGCGTTCCTCGGGGAGGTGTTGGGGGGAAAAAAAAGAGAAGAAAGCGGGAAGAGACAGCGACAGGGCAGGGAGCGAGGGCACGGCCGGCGCTCGCCGCTCCCGCGCCACCATGGGAGCAGGCGCCAAGGGACCACGGGGCCGCAGGGCTGCTGGGACACTGCCCGCCCCGGGACGGTGACAGGGCAGGGGCTGGCTGGGACCATCCGCTCGCCGCCTCCCGCGTCCCCGTGTCCCCTCTTCCCGGCAGCACCGCAACGCAGGTTTGACCTTTCCGGAGCCCTCGGCCCCACGATGGGGCGGCTGTGACGGAGACGGGACGCGGCGGGTGCGAGGGCAGGACGCGCACTGGAGGCATTGGATGGGAACGGTGGCTCCCCAAAGGACGCGGCTGGGGACGGTAAGAGGTGTGGGGTGCTGGGAAGGAGGGTTGGTGCATTCTGTTGGCTTGGTGTCCTGTCCCCTTTGCACAGTAAATTGGTGACCCCCCAGTGGAGCAGGGCCATCCCTTGGCCCTGTGGCATCCCCGGCAGCAAGCACTGCAGATGCCCCCTGCCACGTCCTCCGGTCCCCACCAAAGCCGGGGTACATCCCGCTGCACGTCCCTGACCCCTGCGCTCCC